TCTGAAAGCTTGTAAAACCAATTTTGAATTGCACGACCCACTCCGTTGCTTATGCCAGGATTTTAACTCTCATTCCAGCACGTTTGATATATCAGATCCGCTTTTCAGCATTAAGAAAGCGATACTCTCCTCTCTCAATAAGTGAATTATTGACATAAATACATAAAATCAGCTGATGAATTTAGTTCTGTAGCTGAACAGTTTTAGATCTCGACACTTAACAAACTCCTGCCTATCGTGACTCGGCACAAAAATTTAAAATATTGGTTCCGTACATCATGCGGACTGCGCCCCTCATGCGGATGGGCGGGAATGGAGGGTAAAAACCGTTGGGATATTATTATTATTTATTTTTTAGATTTTTTGTTTGAGTATGCAGTTTAATAGCCCATTAAAATCTAGGGTAATAATGTGCAAGTCTTAAGTTGCTAAAGAATAGCGTCAATTTTTAATAAATTTTTTCTGAATTCATGAAGTTTTTTTTTCCCATACAAAAAAAAAATTTCGAATTTATTTTATATGGGAAAAATTTTTAATGCTAGACTTTTATGGAAAAATAATAAACATTAAATAAACAAAAGCCAAATAGCCGAAATTGAGCAAAATGTTGCTGGCTTAATAAGCTGATCACAAGCGTATGTATAACATCTCGTGGTATATGCTAAATAAGCTGGTGTATAATATTTTTTATTTTATTTTAATTAAAGACTTGAAAAAAAAGGACACATCAAGCTCTCCAATTTGGATATCGGAGGAACTGCAACCATGGACTAACCAAAATGGCATAACTAAATTCAAAAAGATAGCAGCATTGTATTCTGAATTCATTGCACTTTCGGAAAGCGGAGATCTATACCAGTGGAAATGGTCAGAAATGGAGCCTTACAAATCCGAGGTAATTTTAAATTAAAAAACTTTAGTGACATTAAAAAATACTTATCTACGTTCATATAGCTAATGTCCATGATGTCCAGAATCGTAGTGATAAATACTGCAGTCGTAACCTGGTGGTAGGAATAGAAATTAGATTTAATATACAGGTCCTTTTCCAGTATATCATGTACGAAACAATTTCTGCCGAAAAGTCTATTTAGGGAAAGTTGATAACGGTTTGCGAGTCAAAGTGTTCTCCCATTTTGCTCGTTGTTTTGGGAAAAAGGCAAAGAAACCATGTGATCCTTACATTCTAATAATACGACGGGAAATATTTTTGTGAAATATTTTAAACCTCTGGTCCTTTTTTACAGAAAAGGGCAAAATAAATACGCTTACCGCGGGTTAAAATGTTCCACAAAACTATATAGTAGACAAATATATTTGTGGTACATTTTAACCCTAAATGCACATATGTATATACGCTAGACCGTTTGTAAAAAAAAAATTTGTTTTGCCGGGCGGAAAAAGATGTCCTTTGGTCTAAAAATAAGCTGTGAAAAATTTTATTCGAATATAATAACTCTAATGACTTAGAAAACCATATGTATTCAGGGCAAAAGTGTTTAACAAAATAGTTGAAAATCCCGAATTTTATAGTCATTTGCTGTATAAAATAACTCACAGAATCTGAATACGCGGTCAAAAATAAAAAAGTAGAATAGGTTTTAAGAATTTGCGAAATTTTCTTTTTTTCAAGTTGAGAAAAAAGCATTTTAAATTTTTTCCAAAAATATCCGGTTCCGATTCTCACATCGCAAAAAGCTCTCCACCAGATTAAAGGTCTTTGAAGTCCCTTTGATTGCAATCAAATTACCAGTTTAAGAGTTATCTGCAAATTTATGGGTGAAATCGGACACAATTTTAAGTCACATCGTTATTCTACTGTGAATTACACCTAAAAGCTGCAAACTTTTTGCATTTTTATGCTATATTAAAGCTTTTTTAATTTCAAAGTATATAGATCCAAATCTTTTGCTAATCGCTTTGAAAATAGAAAAGTTTTAGCAAATTTAGTAAATGATATTGGATTGAAGCAACATATCGATACTGTAAAATCAATTAAAATATAATTTCCATTGGCCTGATTATGCATATCGTAATTAGAAAAACAAAAGTTTTGTTTTATTAAACAATAGTTTGTAACAATTGTTACGAATTATTTTCCCTAGCTGACAAAAAAGTTAAAATAAAATTTTGCACGGCCTATTTTTAGACCAAAATACATCTTTTTCCGGCCGGCGCACAGTGTAAGATTTTACCCATCTAGCTGCTTTTAATTCTGTAATTCGAAAACTATTGAAGATAGATTTTTACAAAAAATTGGTAATTTATAGTTACTGTCACGCCACCCTATTATATAACTGCAATTTTAAAAAATGCAAAAACTGAAATATTTAACTAACTACAAAGGCTAAAATGCCCAAAATTTATATTTAGAATTTCCCTATAACAAGGAATTATAAACTGACAGAAATGGGTTTAAAAATAAATATATATATTTTTTTAATTATGGGCGTGGAAAATCTCGATAAAAAAGTCAAGTTGGGTCAACAAAATCCTGTTATAAGTTCAATATTTCTTGCTCTATTTACAAAAATGGGATACCATTGGAAATGTAATGAATCAGGCTTTCTCTATTCAACGCAAAAATAAAGAATTTGTCTCGGTCGAGATAAAATGCAAATGAATTACTCGAAGAAAATGAAATTCCCAGTAGGCCAGAAAAAATAAAATTTCATCAAAACCTGCACTTTCCAGCAGCTAAAATTGTGTTGTTTAAAGTCTTAGAGGAGTGGCAAATAAACTGAGATACAAACTTTATCGAATAGTGGCGGATAACGAGTTTTCGGGTCTAATAAAAATAATAATTTGTTAAAAATAAGTCTAAGTCAACATCGTTTTACTTTAACATGAAATACTCAGTCCTAGTTTACTAAATTCCCAAAAACGTATATTCATTGAAAAGACCATACCTAAAAAAATAAGACCAAAATGATATTTTAGCAATTGTTGCATAAATCACATAACACCGACAAATTAAACATTGAGATTCCGTTTCAAATATACAAGTTTAAATATTATTGCGCTCAGTAATTTTCCAAATCAAACCCCGTCCCGCCATACACTTTGATTTAAATTTTTTAGTTGTTATTGTTTCGTCTTTATCAGGCATTTCTAAAAACATTCTTGACGTTGTTTTGAAATTCGGCGACATAAAATAATGTAATTAATCTTTTCTAGAATATGGAAATGATACACTGTGCGGCGAACTGTATATTTAAAAAAAAAAAAAGTTGAAACAACGGACGGTCTAATTAATGTACACCTGCGTTCAACTATTTAGCACTGAAATTCAAAATATATTGTTTGCATTTATGTTTATGTATTTGTTTTTTATAATTTTTATTTAAAATATAATTCAATCTATATCAGAAACCACACAAATGAAAGTTTCAAAGGTTGCACAAAGAAACAAAAGCTAAACTTCAATTTCTAAATTTTTAATCAGAATAATCAGAATTCCAGTTTTAAGTCGCTAAAAGTTACAATTGATTTTTTAGATCTTTTTGCTTGTGTAGGGTTTTGCGGATATTTTTCATATAAAAATAGATTTTGATATTGCGTTATATGGAAGAAAATGCGCAACACCTTCCACGATGAAAATTCTAAAAAACCAAATGTAATTTTTAGCGACTTGAAACTTGCACTTCATTTGACTACACTGTACACCCAAAAAATTCAATCAGTGATCGATGTTTAGCTCAAATGCGTTATGTATCCATCTAATTTGTTCGCGCAGCATTTCGCCACTAACGTCGCACAAAGCAGGGGCCTGTAACACAAGCGCTACAAGTCCTACAAGTGTTATAAATTAGACAAGTGCAGATACTTTGTAACACAAAGCAACTTTTAGGTACAAGTGCCGTACTTGTAATTGCAGAACTTTTTGTACAATTGTAGTCTATTTCCGTAACACAACTAACACACTTGTACAGTTGTGTTTCGGATTTTTCTACAACTGTAAAAAATTTTCTACCTATCTCCAACGCTGACAAGATTCAGTTTAGTGAAGTATTTTGCCATTAGCATACCATTTTTCTCTCGATATGTGAGAGACTGAATACTTTCTTCCTGGGAGACGCAAAATTTTTGGAAAGGTTCAGAATGAATCGAGAATAGTGTAAAACTGTGCTTGAAGATTTAGGCCCAGTAATCATGAATAAAACAATTCGATGCTACGGTTTCATAGAATTTCTTTATTTTCTTTAACTTTTTGTAAATAATGAAACTTTTTTGAACATTATTTGTTTTGCAGCCATATTTAAGTAATAACATATGTTTTATTTTTCACGGCAAGTGCTATACGTCCGCCGAAAACAAATGCTCGTAATAGAGCTCTTGTTAATAGGGACACCAATTTCGATACGATACTACATCGATATTTTTTACATTCGATACCGATACTTTTTAATCGATAGTTTTCAAATGATATTTTTTGGAATCGAGTACCAGAACCCTGTATCGAATCGAATCGCAAAGCCGCATTGTAAAGTTAATGTATCTGACGTCACGTTACAAGACATTACGCTACTAAAATCTCCATTGAAACTTTTTTGTTAATATTGTTTTTAAATTAATTTAATTTAATTTTACGCAAATATAATTTACCTTTTTTGTCGAATATATTTTTTATTTTGACTTAAGCGCACCCTAGCAGTTCCATTTATTGCAAATCTATGTCATACTGTGACTTACCGCTGGAAAAGCCCTTATGTCTACACTTTGGAATTGATATGTAAAGCAGTATGGTTATATTTTGGGCTTTACAGAATCCAATATTCAGATACAATTTTTGAATTTGATATTGATGGGTCGATTATGGATAGCAATGCAACCACGGTTCGGTTACCAGCTGGCAACACAACTGTAAAGAAAATTTGTATTACGAATGGCAACTATCGTCAGTTGCTTTAGAGTTATCGTTAATCGAAATTTGACAGTTCGACAACCAGCAAGCGGCTGTAAACAAGCTGTGCGAGTAAAATTAAATTATTAAAATAAAGAGTTTTAAAGAAAATACAGCAATAAAGCTAACTTCATCACAATTAATTGTTTAAGAGGAAGAGAAGTGCATGAACTCGGCCTAATCAGGCGATATGTAAAGGATAATTCCAATCTTCTAGAGCTACCGCGTGCACTGTAAGCAAAAGTAAATGCTTTCAAGTTTTTTTTTATTATAGTTTTGTGTTCATTTCCAAAGCATATTGAGGACTTCCAAAAGAAGCTGTAGTATAATTGGTTAATAAACAGCTGAACCACTTCGTTCAACTTCAATACCTCTGCTCATAAAAGCTTGCGCTGCTCTTCGATTTTTCGCAGAAGGAAGTGCCACAGCAATGACTTCAATTTGGAAAACTTGGTGTGTCGGTACTTTTAAAAGAGGTGCTTCTGTCGCCTGTATACACACTTTGTAGCACTGCAGTTGTCAGTTGAAAGTTGCCAGTTGCCATCTGTAATATCGTTGTGGCAACTAGCAACGCAACTAAAGTTCGATTGCTATCGATAATCGACCCATGATATTGGGAATATCGGGTCTTTTTATCCCGATAATAATGGGTACCCGATATTTTATAGCGATACTACAGATTACTATTTCGGTACTTTCGGTCCGCTATCGTGTCCCTACTTGTTAATCATTAGTCGAATAGCAAAAGTTGTTTGAAAAAATGATAGACTTCATTTAATCGACCAACCGTTTCTTTTCGACTTTTTCAACTAACCGCTCACAAAAAACTAGTTGAAAATCCGTTCATTTCGATTTATCGACTAGTTGTTTTGTTTGAGTAAAAGTTTTTTTTTGTATAAACCCAACCGCGCTAATACAAATAATTTTATGGTGAAAAACTGTCACTATTCGAATAATTTCGTTTCGTCGATTTTCAGACTACTCGATAGTGA